ATTTTAACTTTGATCCTAGATGTGAAAAACTCTACTTGACTCATATGATGTTTGCTGATGACCTCATGATGTTTGCTAGAGTTGATGTTGTTTTTGTTTAAGCTTCTTTCTCAGGATTTTACCAAGTTGTCTAATTCTTCTGGTCTTGCTGCAACCTTAGATAAAAGTGAGGTCTATTTTGGTGGAGTTCTTGCAGATGAGCAGGTTGTTATGAGAGATATGCTAGGGGTTGCTCAAGGCTGCATTCCCTTTAGATACATTGGTGTGCCTTTATCCTCTAAAAAGCTTACTATAGCTCAATGTAAGCCTTTAGTTGAGAAGGTTACAGCTTGGCTTAATGGCTAGACTACAAGACATTTATCATATGCAGGGAAGCTTCAGATAGTCAAGAGTGTGCTTTTTGGTATTCAAATTTACTAGGCTCAAATTTTCACTTTGCCTAAGAAAATTATGAGAGAGATTGAAGCAAGGTTTAGGTGCTTTCTTTGGACTTGATCTTCTACCTTTTCTAAGAAAGCATTAGTGACCTGGAATGCTGTCTGATTGCCTAAAGTTTATGGTGGCTGGAACATGCTTTCTCTTTCTTTTTAGCGCAAACATGCTTTCTTTTTCTGAATGGAATAAAGATGCTGTCACTAAGTTACTTTACGATATTTCTCATAAGGCTAATAATATGTGGGTGAAATGGGTGCACATATATTATTTATTCAAGAATGGGACCTACTGGACCGCTCCTATCCAAAAAAAGTGTTCTTGGGTTCTGATGAAAATCTTAAGTTGCAGAGATATTGTGAATTAGGTGGTTGGGGGAGTATTACTTATGGTAATAAAATGAAGATCAAAAAGCTCTACGCTGCTCTCAGACTACCTCAAGTTCCTAAGGTTTCCTTGAAGAGAGTTATATGCAATAACTTGGCAATTCCAAAGAATGTGTTTATTTTGTGGTTGGCTCTTTGGAATAGAATGGTCACCAAGGATAGACTGCTGCAGTGGCATATTACTTGTGATCCTAGGTGTTTCTTTTGTTTGAAAGAGAATGAATAAGGCCCTTTCAACATTTGTTTTATTGGATGTCATTATTCAAAGCAGATTTGGGGCAAAATTCTACAACTATTACAAATTTCTAAACCTGTGCAGGAGTTTGATGGAGAAATTGAGTGGATCAAGAGTAACTACAAGAAGACTAGGATGAAAAACAAGTTGTATCAGGTAATATTTACAAAAGCAGTTCATAGTGTTTGGATTCAGAGAAATTCAGTGTTGTTTACAGGAGTTGTAAATCTGCAGATGATGTATTTAGAAATGTTGTCTTTAGAATAACCTGCAGTTGTCCTGAGGCTAGTAGGAAGTATTTGATTATGTAATTTGTTGATTTTTTGTTCCGAACTTCTGGTGAACCCTTCCTAGAAGGTGGCATCAGATTTTTAGGACCTTAAGTGGGTGTTTGTCTTTTGGCTTTTGGGGTTGTTACAACTTTTGCTTATTGTAGCTGTAACTTTTCTTCTTTTGGAATAAAATCTTTATTTTCCGAAAAAAAAAAAATTAAGTCTATAATTTGAATTTATTTTGTTTCAAATATATTATTCATGTAAATATCACAATAGGAAATATTTTATAACAATGAATATATTTGATTCTTTAGTTGATTTTTCAATTGATTGTTTAATTATTTTAACCTAAACACTATTCTATAACAGTGAATCAAATTGATTCATTATTTCACTTTTGTAAATAAATTTCATAATATCACTATAAGAAAACTTCTACATCAATGAATATATTATTGATGCACATAAACAAATATCACAATAAGAGATCTTCTATAGCAATTGCACGTAAGCAAATATCACAATATGACAATAGGAATCTTCTATAGCAATGTTAATTGATGCACGTAAACAATATTCTATAATAAATTGAATCTTCTATAGCAATGAACTGTACATTTCTTAAATTTTCATACTATTATATTTAAAGAATAACCCTTTTTTTTATGTTAAGTTTGAATAATTTATACTATATAAATAAATCTATGACATACATTTTGAAGCCACAAACATCTCTTAGTGAAATATTAATGATATTAGTCATACTAATGAGCTTTTAGTTAGTTACATAGGCTAGAGTAATTAGATTATGGATGGTCCCTTCAAAAGCATATCTTTAGGGAATTTTTCAAGTTAGCTTTGAGCCCTACTGTGATTCATGCTTTTAGACATGGCGGCGTTTCAAGGAAAAGAAGCTAGAGATAAAAGAGTCGCCAACAAGTTTTAGGAACTTGTAAACTGTTCACGGGTGTGAAGATTACACCCCATTTACGATCACGGAGATCACTAATTCCATAGTGGTCCAGAACCATGACTAGATGTTCGGGGATGATGGTACGAATTCAACCTAAAAGAGATTGAACCCGCCCTAAATAGGCTTCTACTCAATTCTTATGATATTCATGTACGCTTTCCGATCAAAATACATATATCAAATTAATCCTAAACCTGTTTAATCTACATTAGTTGATTATTAATGCACAATCAAATCTATTATTGGTGATCACTTGAATTAAAATAATATTAGCCTAAATTAAATTATTAATTATCTTATTAGGCATGATTTCAAATACAAATTCCCTTTAAACTTGAAAAAAAGGGCGTGATCAAGCAATAGAAATAAATCATCAATAATCAAGCAACATAAGATTAATACAACAATCATCATCAAAATATCGTTAATAGCAAGATCCTAGGCATGATACTAAACAGATTAATAACATATCCTAGCATGTCACTAATAACAAAATTAAAGCGTTATCCTAAACATGATACTATAAATCAAAATCAACATCCTAATCATGATACTAGAAATTAAAACATGATTTCTACTCCAAAATCAAAGAATAAGGATAGTGGAATTACTCACTTTGATGCTTGGACTTTCTTGCTATTAAAACAATACACACGTTAGCAAACTTCAAGAAAGTTAAATCAACAAAGTAAATAAATCAAATATGAATTGAAATATAGATTTGGGACCAAACCCTCAGAACTATCAACCTTTCACGTCAAAGGCAACGTCGAGGATGGCTTGGAGTATTTGAATCTCGTGAATGAGGTATTGTGACTGATTTGGGAGAATATCGAGGATGTGTTTAGGCTAAGGCTAAGAACATGAGGAGAAGAGAGGACTAAGATGATTGAGATGATTGATGATAATTGTGGATGATCTGAAACAAAGTAAAAAGAACTCTATTTATAGGGAAAAAAGAGAGTCCGACGATAAAAAAAGATCAAAATTTGGAACAAAATAAAACAAGTTCCATCGTAGGAGATAGGAGTATCGCGGCGCGATAGGGACTATCGCGACGTGATGGTTCCGTCGTTCCGCGATGGTTTCGAAGATCACTAAACCGTACGGAATTTGATTCCTTATAGAACTGGGTTAACGAAACACCTCCGTACGTCTTTTAATTCAATTGGGATAAGGACTATTAAAACTGAGTTTTATTCGGCTTCGAACTCTTTTAATCTTTATCTTCTCGGAAAGGATAAATTAGAACCTTGTAGATGATTCTAGAAACTAATAAAGAATCCTAATGGGTTTAGGATAGAGAATAAGGCATTTGGACCCATCATTGGGTCGTAGGTAAGGTGGACCTAGGTCCGGATTGGGTTCGGTTTAGTATTTTGGCCATAACTTATTCGTTTTAAGTCAGATTTGGGCTTATAATATATTGTTGAAAAGCTCTTTTCAAGCCCCATATAACTAAACAATAATTGGACCAGGATTATGGACCAAAATAATCTGGTTTGGACGTTTTTATGGATTGGACACGGAATGAATGATTTTGGGGACACGAAATGAACTATTTTTGAGTTTAAGACACGAAATGAATGATTTTGAAATAAAACATTTTAGGAAAGGTTAGAAATATGGTCAAGGATTAAGGAAATTTCACGAGACTCTTCAACTCTTTACCGAATTCGTCAATCAAAGACGTAAAAGGTATTCATCACTAGGTTTGGTTTTTGGGGAGACACAATCAGGTGTCTATAGAAGCCCCCACTTTTACTGCCTTTGGAGAAATGTAAGTTTCGAAAACAAAAGTCAAAGTAGATCAATAGGGACGGAGAATGATTCAGAATGTTTTGCGATCTTAAATCATCTTTTTAACGTCGATACCTGCAGAAAACGTTAGTTAGACAAATAAAGGAGTTAAAGGGAAAGAAACGAGTATCTGGGTTTGCCGAGCACACGTCTATAGGTAACATCAAATCAAAGTTTGTTTTGTTTGACAACCTCCACATTCTCAGGGAGCGTTGTTGATGTCCACTCATCTCTGAACAAAAGAACTTTGGATGAAATGTTCACTCGTCTCTGAAAAAGAGCTTGAAAAGGATTGTCCACTCGTCTTTGAACAAAAGAACTTTGGATGAAATGTTCACTCGTCTCTGAAAAAGAGCTTGAAAAGGATTGTCCACTCGTCTCTGAACAAAAGAGCTTGAAAGGAATGGACATGCGTCTCTGAAGAAAAGAGCTTGAAAAGGAATGTCCACGCGTCTCTGAACAAAAGAGATTGAAAAGAAATGTCCACGCGTCTCTAAACAAAAGAGCTTGACACTAGTGGAAACAACGTCATTTGTAACTGACAAGAACTGGCTTTTTGTAACCAACTTCGTTCGTTACGTATACAGGGGTTACAAATACTATTAGGCTTTTGTAACCAACACTATTAGTTACAAATAGACGGGTTAATTGTAACGGACTTTGTAAATGTTAGTTACTAATACCCCATTATACTGTCTAATTTGACAATTCATTATAACGAACATTTTAAATGTTAGTTACAATTAAGCTTTTATTTGTAACCATTATTTTAATTTTCTGTTATCATTGTATGTGTATTCGTAACTAACATATTTATTGTCAGTTACAATTACACCTTCATTTTGTAATAATAATTCAGGCTATTTGTAACTGACAATTAATATGTTGGTTACCAATGATTGTTTTTTCTTTTTTTTTTTCTTTTTTTGTAGTCCAAATATTATATATACGGAGAAGATGTCGTATTTCCTGCAGGTTTGAGTACATAGACATATATTCTATCTCATTTTCCCGCAGGAAAACGGACAATATCTCCCCTATTTTTCGAACATCCCAACTTAAAGTTGATATTAAACAACCACATGCATATAAACTTTTACTCAAAATACTCTTAACATATTTATCATTCACCAATAAATGAATTCATCAACACAACAATTTAAATCTCAAACACAATAAATCCATTTACTAATCAACAAATCAGTTCATCATAACTACATATGCAATCAAATTAGTTATGCATTTGATAGATGAAAATATAACTAAATAGGTTCATTTAACAAATATTTCCTTCTAAAGAAATTTGCCCATTGTTCTTGTATTTCATTCAATTCCTTTTCATCGTAAGCCATTTTCCTTGCAGAATATACCTGAAAAATACAATCAAATGATAAAATTTCAAATACATTCAACAGGTTAATGTCAATTATTTCAAATAAACAATCAAACACTTACCTCCTCTGATTTACCTTCCCACTCACTGTGGCCAATAATAGCCTCATACATGTATCTCATGACGTAATATCCACACTCAGTACCTCCTTTCTGTTGAGCACACTAATTAAAACATCATAGCCCAGAATTACATATCCATTAAATTACTAATGCATGCATATATAAACTTGTGTAATATAAAGGATATCACTTATATACCTCCATTTACTTAAATAGAAAATTTTTCCTCCTACTTTTCAGAACATTACCCTTCAATTTACACAGATAAAGCTTGTATGCGCTGTAAAAAAAATAACAATAATAAACATAAAAATCTACCTACTACATAACCTTTGGATTTATTATGCGAAAATGATGTACTTTCTCCACTTACTTCATTAGTATCTCAGCCAATCTCAATTTTCTTGGATTCTTTTTAGGACAAGTGGCAAAATCAAAGTCGAACACAAGGCCCAATTGTAAGTTTATTATCAAAAGCACCCTATGATTACTATAAAAAATTACATTCCATAAGAGTTTAATTAACTTGTTATTCACAAACATATACATTAGTAAATAATTAAGCATGTGTCGTAGGACATACCTTTGAAGATATGGTGCCAACAAGAATTTGCTATTCTTACCCTCCTTTTCAAGTTCGGACATAAAAGCCTTTTTAACATACCCATGAACTTGGAGATAATCATGCTCGATTTCAGCTAAGGAAATCCTTTGAGGACAAAGGAATGTGATCTCAGTTATATTTAGAATGGAAATGTGCATATGAATTAGGTACCTACAAAAGAAAATTAGCTTACTTACATATAGGATGGGATATGTAAATACCTTTCAATTAAACATAAAGATTAGAGTGTAAAAAGCTTACAAAATGTAGACATGGAACAATGAAACATTAACCCACGCTCCTCTAAGAAGTTCTGATACGTCGTAGCTATAACATATATTTCTTTGCCCTTATCTTGATAGAAATAGGGAGCCTTCAATGATACCATTGTAGTATCATACTTATCAATATCAGAGCTCATGCACCAATACAACATTTCACAACACTCACTCAAACTGTCAACAATGCTATCGTCAAGTAGGTGAAAGCCTTTGGTAGTTGACTGCCCTGATTTAACGCCACAACTACCAACTTTCTCATTGGCTTCTACTAATTTAGCCTTCTTTATTGGCGGTCCTATGTCTTTTTAAAGTTAATATTTGTTAAATCCTTATTATGTAAAACAAAAAACATTTAACATACTCATAGTTGAACTTTTGAATGTAGAAAGTAAAACATTATACCTCATCTTTTAAAATAACTAAATGGATGGGCCATTCAACAAAGTAGCCCTTCGTTTTACCCAACTTAGTTTCACCATCTGGAGACTTCACCGGTAGATCAAGATGGGCATATTTGGGGTAAGGATAGTCCACACTAACTCTACACTGCTCGGGCTTCATGGTAAGGTTATGAGTAACCCCGTTTAAACATGGTCGTGTTGTTCCATCTGCCACGACCACTTTGTTCTCATTGTACTCATCCTTCAAGGCAAGAAAGCATGGAGTCGGGACCTACATTGGTGAAATTGAAGACATATTAACTGAATATTTGAAATTTAAATTATGGGATGCAAATTACTTCTTGCAAAACTTGTATCGTAAAAACTAACAAAGTGTGTACTTGATATATTGTTAACAATATTTTCACATATACCTGTATCATACGTGATGCTTTAATTTGATTAAGATCGTTTGTAAGGGGCATTTGATGTTCATTAATTGATTGCATTATTGGCAATGTTGAGTTTAAGCGAGGAATCAAATTAGCTAGATAAGTCTAAATCTCCTCAGCTACCTGTTGACTCAACCTTTTTTTGCAACTTCTCTTCAACCTTCTCTTCAAGTGTTGCTTCAAATTCCTAAGTTAATGAATCTTTCATTGCTTCCAATTCATTAACATAACAACTACTCTGGCTTGATCTTTTCCCCTTTCGATCTTGCTTCTCAAATGCTTTAGTAAGGCCAACACCAACCCCACACCTTCCAAGTCCTTTGGCATGGTCCCGATTATCCTTTTTCCCTAATGCTAAGGTTAGGGCATCAATGCCTCGCTCTTCACATGAACTTGTTCCTTCTTGTCCCTCTAAGGCCTTCTTTTTCATGTTCTCTAACTACATGATAAAAATGATGATTAGGTATCGTAAGGTCAATGCAAAGTTAACTATTATAAACATGTGAACGAAGAGGTTGCATAATATAAATACACTATTTCAAAATAGAACTTACTACTGATTTTGCAATTGCAACAGTTTCTACATCTTGAAGGACTATACCCTAAGATCCATCGGGTAACACAATTTGACGTGCTAAGACCCATTCAAGAGAACGATACGTAAGCCTTTCACTTATTGTCATAGTACTTAATTCAGTGGTGTTGCTCGTGGTTGATGATTCAGAGACCAGGGGAAGTCTATTTGACTTTTTCTAGTGTACTCGAGCCCTCCCATAGCTTCTTAGCCCTAAGTGATGTCGATTTTTGTTTTTTTTCTTTTTTGCATTTTCGTTCCCCCTTTCACTTTTAAGCTGTTAAGTAATTACCATATTAGTAATATATTCATAGTCATCCCATTCTTATAAAATTTTGACACTAATATTTACATATCATGAATTCTTCTGATGTGTAATATGCCTTAAAATCTTTCCACTACTCCTCTGTGATGAAACCCTCATAAAGTTCCCATGGCTTCATTTTTGCATTAATTGAATCTTCGGCAGGAGCTTCGGTCACGAGCATTTAACCATGACTTGTGTCACCTAAATCTGTTTCCAACAACTACATGAAAGTACTTTTCCTTAACTTCATCGGGATCATCAATGTGGAACTTTCGCTGCTCCATAAAAATAAAAAAATAAAAAAAAAAGTATTTGGCAAGGTAAGGGTAACATAGATTCAACAAATTAAGCATATTTAAATCATTTATACCTTTGTTTCCTCCCATAGGTTTATCTTCTCCACCTTATCCATATTTGAATATTCCTTACGTTGATGTCAACTTTTTTGGAACAAGTCCCAATTTGTTTTCCATATTCAGATTCCCATTGCCCCGTAGGTAAACCAAATTCATCAAATTCAAGGAAGGTAGGAGTTGTTGTTTGGACCCCTTTTGACAGACCTCTTCCTTTTTTCTTAGGCTTAGGTTGTGATGTAGCACCATCCTGTTGAAGTTCTTCCATATCTTGACGCTCCTGGCTGTAGTCATCGCCACTTTCTTCCATGGCAAACCCTACATAAAGATTACAAACTTTATTACCCTTTTTGTTTAATGTTGCATCCTTGATTGTGAAACAATAAATAAACATTGAACTGAAGACATATCACAGCACTGAAGCAGCTTTGCAGAGGACTGCAGGGTGTTGGCCAATACAACCTGCCTGTAATATCAGATAGTCAAGTCATGGTGTGTATTTGTAGTCAGGGACAGACATGAACATAATCTACCCCCGGGCTTCTCTAGGCTGTAGGATTTTGTACGAGTTTTTTTTACAGCAGATTACAGTCTGCATTCCAAATGTGATCAATCCATGTTCAACCCTGATCCTACTAGGTGACAACAATGATTACCAAGTATGCAAGCACCAAAAGGAAAATAACAGTTCAGAGCGTTTCAATTGTGGCCTAGGTAACAGGACGTCAGGCACTAGGACTTTCTTAGAAATTTTTATAATATTATGGTCATAATCATCTCCATGTCAAAAATTATTTGGTCAGAGTTCAGATGGGTGTAAGAAGCTAATGGGGTTATTAGCATGACACAAACATACTTTATATTAAACTATATTAAACTATACTGATGGTTTTAGAGATTTTGAGCAGCTATTATAGTGACACTGTAACACATACATTTATTCAGATAGCTTTAAACCTGAGAAATGAAGCTTAGGCGAGGTAATTAAACACTAGGCCGAAACACTTACATCTGCTCAGATAACTAGGTTGTGACAAGGGCAAGACATGATGTTCATGTGCAATCTGTAGCTTTTTTAAGGTTAACAAGATAGCCAGGCTTAATAAATTTTCAAACAAATCTATTCATGGCCTAACAAGAAGTCAATGACTTTGTAAGTATATAAACTAAAACCAATAACAGAATGAGAAAATTTAGACACTACAGTCTGATGAGTCACAGGCTCACACATTCACACATCCTGCAACAAACTAACTAATATTATCCCACCACATCTTGCAGCAGGTTTCCCACAACAACGACAACACCACCACCACAACAGCAACAAAAACGACAACAACAACAACAAAAAGGCTAATTCACAGAAGAAAAAAAACAACAGAATTCAAAGTAGCTCATAAATTGGTACCATATTGAAGCCAAGTTCCTATACAAGCTCAAAACTCGGTTGAACTTTGCTTGAGTGAACTCCAACCTGAGATGTGACCACCCCAAGCTATATGCATCTCACATCAGTTTTGATGTGTGCATGAGCATTGTTTGTAATTAAAAAAAAAATTATTTCTTGAACATATAAGTGAATCTGACTACACCACCACTTTTGGCCACAATTAAATTTTCATGAATCATTTAATAGACTACATACAAGCAAACCAAGATGATAGGCAAGTGAACCAAGCAAGTTTAAAAAATAGACAAGTTATAAAAATTAGAAAAGAAACTAAATGCAATACATTGATCACAAATTACTAAGCAACTTTTTAAACTTTGGAAAAAAAAAGAGAAACCAAGTTCATTGTTAACATTACAAAATTGTTAACATAGCAAATGAATACTAACATAAACCTTATAGTGGTGTCATAAATCAACCACCACCCCTTCATCATGATTATAGTCCTCATCATCAACTATATCTTCTCCATCTTGAAGAGGTTGGACACCCATGGATAAAGGTGGGGTGTCATCCAACCTATCATACTCTTCTTCATCTATGACATCTTCAACACCAACAATTCTTCTTTTTCCTTGAACCACAACACGCCACAATGGATCTAAATTGTCTTTGATGTAAAAAATATGTTTAGCTTATTTTGCTAGGATAAAAGGCTCCTCACCGTCTGTATAACGACTTGAATCTACCAAAGTATAACCAAATAGATTATCCCTTTTTTGTCCACAACGATTGTCAGCCACTTGCATCGAAAAAGAGGAATTGTGAAATCAACATAGTCTAGCTCCCAAATCTCTTAAATGACCCCATAATATGATGTGTCGCATCGATTGGCCTTGTATCTTTGGCACTTGAGTATTCTGTTGAAGATGCAACTACAACAACGCCACTATTCTGCTGCACACTCTTTTCATCCTTACGATAAGTAGAGAAAGAATATTCGTTGATGTCGTAGCCCTCATAAGTATAAACAAGTGGTTGGGGACCTCGTGCTAGCCACTTAATCATTTTTGGAACATTTTTATTTTGACTCAATTGAAGCTTTACTTGGACTTGAAACCATTCAACAAATTGACGATTATGCTCTTGCATCAATGAAAAAGTAGTTATTCTTGGATTTCGACATTGCAATTCATGGAGATGCCTTTCTATGTATGGATGAACTTTAGAGAGCTGTTGCAAAATATATCGATGGGCCTTCTGAAATCTATCAATTAAAGGCGTGACCAATTTTCGACCAAGTGTACCCCTTCCATTCCAGCCTTCCCTCATGACGAGATATGGGAACACCAATTTCTTTAGCCCTAGCCAAGAACACAACACAATAGTTCCCAGCTTCCTCTGCCAAGGTACCTTGAATGATACTACCCTCAGGATTTGCTCTATTTTAAACTTTATCTTGCAAAGTCCCCATTTTCCTTTCATAAGGGTTCATATAACGCATGAACACAGGACCACATTCTTTAATCTCTCGAGGTAAGTGGGTAACTACGTGTACCATTATATCAAAGAATGAGGGTGGAAAATACATCTCGAACTTGCATAATGTTTCAATAACATCAGCTTCCATTTCATCAAGCCTTTTGGGATCGATTGCCTTACTACATATGTCACTGAAAAAGTTACAAAGCTTCACAAAGGCATACCTAACATGTTTCGGCAATAGGCCTCGAATAGCCATCAGTAAGAATACTTGCATCATGACATGACTATCATGGGATTTCATACCAAATACTTTCCTATCGGTCACCGAAACTAAACGGCTTATATTGGACGAATACCCCATAGGCACCTTGATTCCTTTCAAACATTCACTGAAAATCCTTTTCTCTTCCATAGACAATGTGTAGTACGCATAAGGCAAGAATAATTTCTTCCTGATATCGTTATCCTCGGGCCATAACTTTGGTCGAATATTGGCTTCCTTCATGTCTCTACGAATAGTAGCACCATCCTTGGTCTTCCCCTTAATATTCAACAATGTCCCAATCAATGAATCACAAACATTTTTTTCAATATGCATGACATCCAGACAATGTCACTCTTAAGTGCTTCTAATAAGGAAGTTCCCAAAACTTAGACACTTTTTTCCATAGAACACCTTTCTTTGGTTTTGGTGTTTGAAGCTTTCCATAGACTGTCTTGACATGTTTAATTCTTTCATAAATCTGGGTCCCTGTCAATGGCTTACGACTCACTCCTTTCTCAGTAAACTCGTTGAATTGTTTCATCATCTTTCGATATGGATGGTCTCGACGAAGTGGCCTTCTAGTATGCATATACATATTCTTTACCCCAATGTTTCAGCCATGTAACTTGCACATCATCTTCACATATTAGGCATGCTTTCTCTCCCTTGTTTTTTTACCCCGACAAATTTTTGTACGCCGAAAAATCATTAATGGTACAGAAAATCATGGCTCTTAGTCTGAAACTTGTATCGGTATGAGCATCGAATGTCATAACACCTTCATCCCACAACAGCTTTAAATCATCTATGAGCGGCTCAAGTACACATCTATGTCATGACCAGGTTGTTTAGGACCTGATATTAAAAGTGACAACATGATATACTTTCGCTTCTTGCACAACCAAGGAGGTAAGATGTATATCGACAAAAGAACCGACCGTGTGCTACGTTGTCTACTTAAAGTGCCATAAGGGTTCATCCCGTGTGTACTGAGCGCAAGCCTCAAGTTCCTAGGCTCATTGCCGGGTTCTGGAAATGTCTCATCAATGTGTTTCCATTACAACGAATCAGACGGGTGTCTAATTAACCTATCTTTCTTCCTCTCATTGTCATGCCACACCAAGTTTTTAGCATCTTGCTTAATTGAAAGAAGATGTTTAAAACCTTGGAATTGTTGGAAGATACCATACAACCTTAGCTGGCGGCCACTTCTTACAGTTCAAGTTCAAACCCTCACGCTTGTATCAAGACTCACCGCACTTTGGGCAAGCATCTAAGTTTTCATTCTCCTTTCAAAAAAGCACACAATCATTAGGACATGCGTGGATCTTGGTGTACTCCAAACCCATGGGATACATCAATTTCTTCGCATAATAGGTGGACTTAGGAATGTCATTCCACTCGGGAAACATATCCGAAAGATCAGAGTTTCTAACTACAAAGTGAAACTTGTGACGGTCCAAACACTCTTTGCTTTCAAGTTGAATAATGTTGACACCCCCAAAAGCTTGGAATACTTTGTACAATTAGATACAGTGGTGTCTTTCCAGCCTTCGACACCTCCTTAATTATACGAGAATTTTCATTCACACGATCCTCTAACCTTTCCATCATATCATTGATGTTATCTTCATCAACACTGTTTTCATGATCAAACCCATCATTATTATCACAACCACCCGACTCCCTCTTAAGTTCAGTATCATTATTAACAGAAGATGTACTACCCATAGGAATAAGTTTTTCACCATGCCAGTGCCAAACGGTGTAGTATGACATGAACCCATGAATAATCAAATATTCCTCCATTTTCTTAATGTCATCCCACCTCTTCACGTTCTTGCAATGACAACAATGGCAGAAGATAGGTCTTTCCCTAGTAAGTCTTTGTTAAAAAACAACACTCCACTAATGTTGTGCAACAATTTTACAAAACTCCTTAACTTCTTCCAAGTATGTAGGTGAAGTTCGGAGTGCATCATACATCCATTCACGATTCATTCCTAAAACGTAATAACATGTTATATTCAACACCAAAAAAACGAAAAATATCTAGCCACTTATGACATGATTCATTACTAGAATTTGAACGACAAAGTATATCCATGATATAACGCACACTAATTAAGGCAGATGGACTTTATATCTGAAATTTCATAAACACAACTTCGACAAAATCCACCTCAACCCACTATGAGATAACACATATAACACTTAAAACCAAGCTAATCAAAGCATTTAAAAACATTCACCACCCAAAAATCAAGAAATTAACCCAATAAAATTAAATTTCACAACTAAAGCTCAAACATCATAACCCAAAAAATCAACAAAACAAACTAATCCATGATCAGCAAACCAGCAATATGCATTTATCAACACTTCCATTTTCTTCCACAACGTCTACATTTGCATACCAATTTATTAAACATAGTTCCCAAAAATTCAATATATAAATACAATATAGACATAAAATTAAATTCAAAATAATTGAGACTCCCAAATATAATTCAAATACAATATAAACAAAAACTATCGACAGAATATTGAGACACAAAATTGAAATCAGTATTTAAATACAATATAGACAGAAAATTTAGACAAAAACTTGAAACAGAAATTTGAATTCAATATAATTCAATATAAAATTAAATTCAATATAATTAAGCCCAACTCTCTTATTAAATAATATCGAGACAGAAAATTGAAATCAGAATTCAATAGCATTTACCCCCAAGCTCTCAGCATCACAAAATCATACAAGCATAGCAAGACTATCGAATTTCAAGCATAGCCCTCAAATGTCAGAATTCAGAAACAAATAAGCAAGCATAACAATCATAAATTAAGAAACAAATAACAATGTTCTCATAGAAACATAGCAATCAGAAATTCAGAAACAAATAAGCAAGATTCTTGAATTTTAAGCATAGCCCTCGCATTTCTAGCCTACCAATCAAAGACTACAACAGCCAAAGTAGTGAAAGAGCCCCAAAAGAACTCTAAACCCGTAATTAAAAGGGGAAAATTAAACATACCTTAGACAGCGACAGTGAGGTGGTCGAACCGCTGATGATAGGTGGAGGATGAAGTGGCTGACGGCGAAACGACGGTGAGAAAGAAATTCTATCCAAAAATTAGGTTAAAAGAAGGTCGGTAGTGGGCGATTGTGGAAGGCGTAGAGGGCAATTGTGGACGGAAGAACTCCAGTGGGACGTTGCTGGTGGATGGCGTTGTAGATGGTGGAACTCCGACGGTCCTCAAGTTGCAAGTGGCGGGCAATTTTTCTGGGTCGGGAGTTTTTTATTTTAGGGGAAATTTTAGACTAAGTTTGGGGGTAATGGGAGATCTGAGGGTTTTACTAGCTAAGTTTTTTCTTTTCCCTTGTTCGAAAAAAAATCAATAAATAAAAGGAAAAATTTCTTAAAATAATACGACCTTTAGCCCGTCTACTAAAAATAAGTCCACCTTTTGATTATTCCAGAATAATACCACCTTTGGGGGGTGTCTGCTTTAAACAAGTCATGACCTGTTGTTGACTTAATTAATAGGTATATGGGACACGTGTCAATGTTTAATTGGATTAAAAAAATTTAATTTGTTTTTTTTATTTAATACTTTATTTTTTAATAGGTAATAATATTGATTATTATTATTATTATTATTATTATTATTATTATTATTATTATTATTATTATTATTATTATTTTGTGGGAAGGGGGAAGGGAGTTCGGTGGTCAGCCACCGGAGCAGCAGCCCACAACGCCAGCCAGAACATTTTTCCGGCCGACGCACGAGTCCACGACGCCGCCAGCCAGAAGGTGGTGGTCGCAGCCAGGCCGAAAACCCACCACCACTATTTCCACAACAACAACAATAACAACAGCGGCATCAACAACACCAAAACTACCACGCAACTCTCCACAACTAACCAGTCACACCTCCGAAATCACCAAACATCGCAACTCTCCACCACCAACAAGTCACCACCCACACAGCCCTACAAATCGCAGCAATTCGCACCGCAGTGCCACCCTTAAACTCCCTGAACATCGCGAAACCCTCGCCACCACCCAAAACACCAACCACCACAAACCCTCAACACCAGACCCACTAACCACAACAGCAACAACACTCACAAACCCCGACTCTCCCTCGCAACCAGCAGCGCCGCATCCCCTCCACCTTCACCACCGAAATCACCATCCCCTAGTTTCGGTTAGGGCGGTTTCGGGGCTGGGTTTTGGAAAGGGGGGTTTTCAAATCAATTTGGGGGTTTTGTGGGTGAATTGCGAGGCTCCGAAGAACTTGTTGCTAAATGGTGGTTCTGCGACGGCCGTTGGTGGTTGCGGTTAATTAGGCTCTGCTGGCCGGAGCTTGTTGCTGCGTTGCGTGGTGTGTTGAGTGGTGGGGAGCGGTGGTAAGGGAGGAGGGTGATGGGTGGCAGGGCAGGAGGAGGTCAGGGGGAAGGAAGAGGGCCTGATTTTTTTTTTGTTTTTTTATTTAATTATTAATAAAATCTTAATTAAAGTTGTTAATAAGATTAATTACATTGTTAAATTAATTTATTAAAAAAAATTAACTAGTTACTCAGGTTGTAGGTAAAATAATCTGTTTAAAGCGGACACCCCCCAAAGTTCGTATTATTCTAAAATAAACAAAAGTTCAACTTGTTTTTAGCGGACGGGGTAAAGTTCGTATTATTTAAAGCAATTTTTCCTAAATAAAATGAAATTACTATTTGTAACGGACTATGTATTGATAGTTACAAATATATATTTACAGAAAATATAAGTATAGTAGTCGTAACAGTCAATTAAATTGTTAGACACAATAACAATTATTTGTAACCAACAAATCTTAGTCAGTTACGATTACATGAGTCATACAACTTATTACTAATTATTTGTAACATATTTTTTAATTGTTAGTTACAAATATACTAATTGTAACTAAAAAGTCTTGTTAGTTACAAATAAGGGGTTACAAATGACGTTTTTTCTACTAGTGTGAAAAAGAATGTCCACGCGTCTCTGAACAAAAGAGCTTGAAAAGGAATGTCCATGCATCTCTGAAAAAAGAGCTTTGAAAGAGATTGTCCACGATCTCTGAACAAAAGAGCTTTGAAAAGGTGCTCACGCGTCTCTAAGCAAAAGAACTTTGAAAAAATAAATGGTGAGAATGTTCGATTGGCTGCGAATAAGAGCTTCAAAGAATTGGTGACGGATGATGAAACTGTTCGATTGGCTGCGAACAAGAGCTTCGATGATTTGGTGAGATTGCTCGATTGACTCTGAATAGAAGCTTCGATATATTGTTATATCTTGTAAAATCAAATTTTGCAAAAGGACTTTGTTGGGGTTTTTATTGGGGTTGACCCAAGACTTGGTGTACATACTTGACTCATTGTGGTTAGTTGGCTTGAGGTTGTTGACTCAAAGCTTGGTGTACTTTACTCATTGTGTGACTCAATGTGTCTCAAAAATACAGAAAAAGCAAAAAATTTCCGTCATTTTTATGAAGGGTACCGACTTTCTCCCGAAAAAAAAAAGACGTGAAAAAAGGATGAAGTGTTGGGTGTTGGTGAAAAATAAAGTTTTTGAACTTCCTCAAGATGAAAAGAATGAATCAAGTGATGATGCATGTTGAGTGAGCTTAATCAAGTGTAAGCATTAATCGCTGTATTTTCATGGTGCAAGGATTGTAGCATCTAGACTATCTCAATTGATGATCTGATAATGAAAGTACTTGGGTAACTTAGGCATGGAGGCTAAGTACCGTACACTTCGTGATGCGATGATGATCATGATAATGAGTGATTCAAAGGTGATAAGGCATGTTTATCCAGATTTCATGAGAAAGGGTTCCTAAGGGAAGAATTATTTGGCTACGTATTTGTGATGTTTGTGAGAGTGACACTAAGGTTAGGCTGCAAAGGCTAAAGGGTGTGGAAAAAATATTTTGAGAAGAGCCAAATGATGGTGACTCTTAGGCTGGGTAGGCTAATGAAGTAGGGATCAAGCCCCCAAGTCTAGCTCTAAATGGATAAGGATGAGCATTGGAGATCCCTTGATATGATCATGGTGTGAATATGGATGAATGTGAATGCATTTTTATTACGGCCGCACCCTAATGTGAGGTTGCCTACGTATCCGTTAGGAATCAAGCCGAACGTAGCTCTAGCCGACCATTGCACAAGTGTGTGTACACCTCAAGGAGGTCTTTCAAGAGTTGTAACGAGGTTAGGCTAAAGGTTGAAGAAGAAAGGATAAAGGCTCTAGACCCAAAATAAGCCCCCAAGGTGTGCAACCTTGCATTTGAATCTTGGTATTTGTATGCTTGAGATTTTCTCACTTTTGAATTTGTTTTTTTGTTTTTTGCATTTGAAGTTTATTTTTGAATCTTCTTTGGATAAGTGTGGGAAATCCCAATCATACGGTCTATCACTCACTTGGCATTCATGTTTCTCAGGCACGGTACTGAGCACTCAATAAGAGATGCAATCCGAGATATGTTCATATCAAATAAATAGGGACACTTGCCCTTTTGCACAATTTTATTGCTTTTGAACTTTTTGTATTTTGGGACTATCACTCAAGCTTTTGTACTTGGCTTTGAAAATTGCATAAGTTGCACACTATCGCATCCCAAATTTAGGTAGATGTGGGTTGAAAAAAGAAAGGTTAATCGTTAGACGAGGCTAAAAATGGTTTATCAAGAAAGGATTGTATATTTGAAAGGGGTAAAGGTGATATGATGTGGCTACAAGGGGTGCCTCAAATCATTGATATACCTTATTCTTAGTTCTGCGTGATTTATTTATTTATTTATTTTTAAAGGCAATGCAATGATCATATGCAAGGAAATAAATGATCATGTTATTGAAAATGGAAAAGGGTAAAAAAAAAAAAACAAACTCATGAAGTAAATCTAAGGAAAATAATAGAGGGTTCCTATGCTAGACTTATTAAGGGAAAGGGTAATCAAAAATAAGAAAAGAGTTATGAAATCTTGTCGTCGAAGCTTGCCTCGCGCTTTGTGCTTATCATCTCTCAGTCTTCTTGCCCGCTGGAGGGAATGGAAGCTTGTTTGCATAGATGAAATCTTGATTGTGGTTTTGAAACTTGTAACATTCATCTGTGGCATGACCTTTGCCTCGATGGTACTTGCAATAAGAGTTGGGATTCCATCTTAAAGATCGTTTTTCTGGTGTTGGATCTTCAGGGGGACCAATAGGCTTGATTAAACCTCTATTATAGATATGATTGAAAGTGATATCATAGGATATTCCAATAGATGTGAACTCTCTATTGAGTTTCTTGTCTTTTAAAGTATCTTTATCAAGGGCCCAGATTTCATCGTCGTCGATGTAGTTGTTATTTTGATGGGAAGAAGCGGAAGAAGGATTGTCGTTCTTCCTGCTCTTGCCATTGTTATTAGCCATGGCCTTCTTGTTGCTTGGAGGAACATGAAGCCAATTCGAATCGATGAGGTCTTAAATGCGATCTTTAAGGGTGAAGCACTTTTCGGTAGTGTGACCATTACCTCTATGATATTTGCAATAGGAGATCCCAATTGGGAGACCGTCTCTCAGGTACTGGATCTTGGATTGGACCAATGGGATGAATGGAATCTTGGCCATGAGATAGTCGAATGCTTCATTATAAGTCATTCCTATTGGTGTGTATTCATCAATGGTCCGTTTTACCCATGGCTTATAAGCATTGAGTTTTTCCTTTAGTCTTTTAAGGGAAGAAGAAGAAGGAGGGTGGTCGTTCTTTTCATTCTCCCGATCCTGGCGATGAGGATTTTGCTTAATGAAAAATATCTGATTCGCTAGGTCTTCCACCATACTCATAAGCATGGCGACGACATCTCAAAGTTTATGAACTTTTTTTGTTTAGACTTGCTGAGTTTTCCTCAGTGGTATCTAAGAAAACTTCTTCATCCTCCTCAATCATGGTCGCTTCGTTAATGGAATTTATATTGACTACTTCAATCATGGGCTCATCAAAAGGTGTAATGAGGAGAGAAGGATCAAAGAACATTTGATCTTCTGCGACAGGTAGAACCTCGAAAGTTTTGTTATCATCGATTAAATCTTAGATAGCTTCTTTGAGTTTCCAACATTCCTCAGTACCATGACCTTTTCCTTGGTGTTACTTGCAGTGCTTATTAGGATCCCACGTAGGTGGTCTTGCCTCCGGGACTGGATCTTTGATGGGTCTTATGGGCATAATCAGTCCTTTGTGGTGTAGTTTATCGAAAGCGGTCTTGTAGCTCATACCAAGTGGAGTAAATACTCTTTTCTAACTTTGAATTTGTTTCTTATGAGTGTCTAAAGCATATACTTCATTAATGGGAGAGGAAGAAGAAGGATGATCGTTCTTTTTCCTTTTGCATGATTATTGTTACTAGCAACTGCCTATTTCATAAGGTCGTCTTCAATTTTGATGCCTATATTGTAGACAGCTTTGAAAGTGTTTAAG